CCACTTTTTCCCGGCTCTGAGCTTTGCCGGAAAAAAGTGCCAGTCTAGATGCGGATCTTTTGGAAAATAAAGCCTTTTCTGAAAGATCCCTTATCCCTTATTTTAAGAGGAATAAGGGATCTTTCAGAAAAGGCTTTATTTTCCGAAAGATCTGCATCTAGACTGGCGCTTTTTTCTGGCAAAGCTCCGAGCTAGAAAAAAGCGGCAGCCATGTTTATGAAAATTAAGCGGGGGGGGGGGGATTTAAATCCCCACTTCATTTGCAATTGCGATGTGTCTAATTTGCATCCCTTTTACAGAAAAGGGATGCAGTCTAGACACAGCGTTTGTGTTTTCAACCTTGTTTCTTCAAACAAGGACAAAAAACTGTTTTGTATTAATGGAAACTGATTATTATGCAATCTCTTGCTTACAGAAGCAGAGGCTGTTGGAAAAAAATTATTCAAATATTGTGATACATTTGTGACGGTTGACAGCATTCTTAGGTACACGTGCATATATGCATATCTACACATGTGTATAGGCCCTAGTATACAATTGCAAATGGCACCAAAAACATGCCAATACAAACAAGATAGGTAGGAATTCCTAGGTAGGAATGTCACACAGATGGAAAGACAGGTTTTTGCACTCACACATACTAAAAACAAAAAAGATGGAGTGCGCACACACAATATTCCATGGGCAACCCAATAACTGGAGCATCTGGAATTTGTCCAGTTCTCAGTACCACATTTCAGGAAAGATGTGGACAAATTAAAGGAAGTCCAGAGAAGAGCAAGAAAAATGATTAAAGGTCTCAAGATCATTCCCTATGTGACAAGATTGAAAAAAAATGGGGTTGTTTAGTCTTGAAAAGAGAAGACTAAGGGGGGACATGATAACCATTTTTAAGTACATAAAAAGTCATTACAAAGAGGAGGGACAAAAAATTATTCTTTTTGACCTCTGAAGATAGGACAAGAAGCAGTAGGCTGAAATTACTGAAAGGGAAGTTTAGGTTGAGCATTAGGAAAATGTCTTCATTTTCAGGGTGATTAAGTACTGGAATGAGGGAGATTATAGTATTTCCATCCCTGGAAATTTTTAAGAGCAGGTTAGATGAACATCTGTCAGGAATTGTCTAGATTAATACTCAGTCCATGAGTGCAGGTACCAGCATGGTGATCTCTTGAGTTTCCTTCAAGTACTATGATTCTATGCAGTCTAACCTCACAGCATACTGGATAAGACTCTGTCATTGTTCCTCCAGTCCTTTAGGAGGTATGGCATAGAGCACTATAGCTTACAGGCTAGTAAAGGGGTAAGGTGGCTTTCAGACATTGTTCAACCTTCCCCATTCAGAGTTTCACTGGGAGAAGAAGCAGACCCCTGATACTCTAGTTTTTGCTGCCTCATTTTCCCCATGGGTTCCATATCTCATTGCAGCAAAGAACATACGTATATTGCAGGGACACCAATTCTGTACTTGGGATACCTTAATCACCCCCAAGTACATCAAGAGCTGCAAGAGGTACTGTGCAGGGCTGCCTATGGCTCTTCTATTCTGTCTCTGTGCCGAGAGAACTCTCCCTGGCCAGCTAAGGGGCTTTTATGGCACCATATGCCACCCCACTGGAATATAGGGGTGATGGTGGAAGGAGAATGCCCTATGTGCATGGACACATGCTCAGGCACAACCAAGTATGTATATAAATTCACACAAACATCAGTGAACACTCACAATAAAATATACAAATAGACAAATACTGGAGACATGTGCCATGCATTCCTACAGTATTTTACCCACTGCCTTTCCATGTAGATTTTATCCACAAAACAGTCTGTGGAGTTAAATAATGGAAGTGTGGGTAAATAGCAGAATAAGAGCAGTATTAAGAGGTACCTGTGAAAGGCATACAAATTATGTTTTCAAAGTAGATATGAGGTGAGATAGAAAATCATCGAGAGATCACGAGAGACAAAGAAGCTATTGCAAATGGCAGACTGCAGAGAAGGCTCTCATATTTAGAGCAGTGATAGGGTAGGACTGGGTTGAAAAGTGGCAGAGAGGAGAGTAGCCAGTGAAACAGTCTGTGTGATATGCCTCCAACAAATACACAAAGGGTTAAGTGGAAGTGGAGAGCAGTTTCAAACCAGACCCTAAAATGTGCAGGGGAAACAATAGTGGATCTATTGGTCTGTGATATTTCTAAGGCATCCATCACAGAAGTATTCCAATGAAGGGTGGGGTAATCTAGGAGCATGTGAGGAGGTAGGCAATACATTTTACAGAGTTAGGGTGAAGTCATGATTGCCAAGACATAGGAAATATGAGATGACTTAGAGAAGTGAGAGGTAGGAGATAATGCCATGGTTATGAAGGTAGTTGGAAGACATGAGTCAAAAAAGGACATGGAAGCATAGGATTTGTGACTGAATCTTCTCTTCCTGACTAAATATCAGACACAAAACAAGGACAAGCTCTTCAGAATTAATAATAATAGTAAATCACTATTGAGCATGCTGGACACGGTGCTCTGGAATTCTGCTCTCTGGAATAGGTTAGGTGCCTAGAAGGAAGCTCAGATTTTCTGAAAAGTCAGGTATGTGTCATAACTGGAGCTCCCGTGAGCAGCTTCCCTTTGAAAATCTGCTTCTCTGGCTCCTGATCCACTCAAGCCACTGCGATAAAGCCAACAAACAAACAAAAACACAATCTGCCACTGATGTTCATGGAGAAGGACCAAGCTTTGATTTCGGTGCTCAGCTTGCTATCAGTTGGCTACTGAGGCCTTATTAAAAATCTGATTCCAATTGTAGCTGCTGAGCACTGGAAAATCTGGCCCATATTTCCAGATCCTCAATGGGCATAGGCCAATGGGGCCCTTTTGAAGTCAATGGAGCTAGGTCAGTTTATGCTAGT